TTACGGACATGAGAAATGCCAAAAGTACAGCCAAGCCACTGCCTGCCGTTATTACATATGTAAGATGTAGGATTGGTAAGAACGGAAAGCATGAAAAGAGTGTGGAACGGAGCGTTAAGATGTGAATGAGAGAAAACGGAGAGGAAGGGAGAGGAGAATGACAGAAAAATGAAGATGGCGAAGACGGTTAAGAAATGAGCAAGGCGTAATAAAAGTGTTAATTATTTTTTTAATTTTTATTATTATAACAGAATATTTTGGAACAGTATACATTTTATTTTATGCGCCGCGATCCCTATTCTACACTAATGACAGCTAACAAAAGGGATGGAATAGGAGGATAAGGAACCGATGCATAGGATCCGCTACAAATTAAAACTGATCATTGTTCAAACCACAATAATTCATAAGGGCACGATAGTTCATCTCTGCTTAAAAAACAATAAACAAATATTAACAGTTTCAATCGAGTCCATTACGTTATTTAGTGTATTCAATATTACATGTTTGAATAAACAAGAATTAGACGGAATAAATTACTACTTTGTCGGCAGATGTTACCTTATCTACAGCAAACTATTAATACAGACAGTAATTTATCAATGTCTTGTATAATTGACCAAGAGACATCAATTCTCACGTGACTTAAATAAATAGTACTACTATCATGGGGAGACTTAAATTTTCTTTTTCTTGTAGATGCCGACGGCTCTGTGCTCTGATGCTGTACTGTTGCTGTGTTAAGGTTTTAGTTGACAGGCAAAGCTTCTTTTTTTAATTTCTCCATTCCAAAGGAACAGCTGTTATACAATTGAGGCTTTAACGTCAATCTCGTGTCGCAAGCTGGATAGCATCATTCACGTTGTGATCTGGATTTCGGTAACATAACACCATCTAGACCGCGAGCTCGTCCAGCCCGGGGGAGTAATAAAAAAAAACTTAAAAAGGTACTTGAATTTTTATGTTCACGTAAAATAATGGCTATAAGCCCTAGAGACCAGCTTGTCCTATAGTGACGTCAATTGGCAAGCGACGCTGAACATTGCGTAAACCTAAATGACTATTGTTAAAGGCGAGAGCCATTCGTTTCATATCTCGGTTTATTAGATCTATTTGAGGGCATCTATGAAAGAGATGAGAAAGAGCAAGTTCATTTAATGTAACCCTACAAAAGGTGGCCTACCTTTCCCTAACTCAAAAGTCCTATAGAGGAACTGTAGATATAGTGAAACAGTGACTTAAAGGTATTGTATTCAATGTTATTCCAAGTAACTTCATAGTAGAACAGGCAACCTACTTAATGGAAAATAATCTCTTACTCTCTCATTGGCTAAGTCCGAGCAAGGCAAGTAGCAATAATGAAAATGAGTAGTCTTCAAAATTCCATACTATACGATGAAAACCCTGCCTTTCCTTGTAATTGGCTGTCTATGAGACTACGCTGTTAGTAGTATGGCCTTTTCAAGGGCGTCTGACACTTGGGATACTAGTTTAGGTAAATTATTTCGTAATGAGATCATTTTAAATTGTAACTCAAAAATAATAGAATTTTAAAACAGAGTAGCACAACGACATACTTTCCTCTATTAATTTGTATAATGGCGTGTCTTAAGTGTATTATCCAATGCCAAAACTTATTTTACACTTCCAATTGTACATACATTTTTAAATGTGTCTGGTTTGGTTTTTAACAAATTATATTCTATAGACTACTCTACTCAGATACTGTAACTAAGTTATTTTTATACTTTAGTACCTATGTAGACATTATCCTATAAGATGTGAGTAAATAGAAAATCAACACAACAGTTAAAAAAAACGGGTACAAAAGCAACTTCAAAAATGAATAGACCTGCTTAATGTTTTCTAGAGAGGGTCATAAAAAACAAACAGTCGCTTTGTTTCATTATGAGTAAGACGAAACTTTGACCACAAAAAGTATTATTAATGGCATACGTACTTAGAATACGGTGCGATCTTGACATTTAGTGAAATATAATGCAGCTGTTGTTCATTCAAACACTCGTGATACATCTTGAGCTAAACGATAGACACATTTTTTCATCAACGCAGACATGACTTTGTCTAATTCAAGTCTCCAATGGAAAAAAGAACCAGTAATGAAAGTTTGTGATGCACGTACATAGTCGCAATCATTAAATGAGCAAATTAACTAGTTTGGAGGCAGCAACATATCTCTGAATATTATGAAATTGTCCCTTGAATCATTGCGACTAATGATCTAAATAAATTATTCTGAAGTCATAGATACATAAATATTGGTATTATTGAAGAAGATAAACATCAGCGAGGGGCAGCATTGTGTTAATAGATCGAAACAATGGTTATACTGTCCGCATAAACTCTCGGCCTTGTGGATCAATCACGACTTAGAACACCTGTATTCGTTACTTTGTATTTACGATGCAGACACTGACAACAATTCATTTCACGTCAAGGAGAAGTTGAAAGCCTCTCAAGGCTTTCAGCATAGGTAGGGAAAATAATCATTATAATGGTTCCATGGCGGTAATCATGATATTCAATGTCAAATTGACGGTTTTTAGCGGAAATTGGAATGTACCCAAAATAAAGCTAAAACAAGACACTACTCTTCTGTAAAACCATAATATGATTAACACTTATGAATACTAAACTAAAATGGCTGTGTGACCGTAGGTCAAAACGGCTTAGTATGGAATAATCCCGTCGTTTCTCGTTGGTGTCTTAAGATGCGATTAAGAGTCACCGAAGTATACGTGGCAGCATTACCCAAGTATTATTCTACTGTACTGCTGTCGCCAATGGGCATTTGCTGAAGGTAGGGCGCATTGTAAACCTGCATGGTTGGGTACTAATGCCCAACCCATTACTGAGGGAAGCTTCAGTAACCACTTTAGTCGTAGTAAGCCGTGATCTCGTTCACTCACCTACGCAATAAGAAAAAACTTCTAAAATATAGTACATAATTTACTTGATGATTCACACTATTAAGTACTATAAATGTTTAAAGTAAGTAGAACAACTTCACTTATATGGCGGAATACAATATTGGGTGTTCCATTACAAAGTTTATCCTCCGTTACGAGGAATCTTCATCGAGGAAGGATGTTAACAGATTTCCAAGGTCGTCTTTGCTCATTTACTTTATCCTTAAGCCCGCCATATTCTAATCAGTTAACAGAAACATAACATTTTTATCTGCAATAAACATGTTATCTGCATTCTTGGATATAATGGTTTTATTGGCACAGATATTTTGCAACAGTTTTTAGTGTTTCTTGAAATACGTATTACATATGTTCATTTGCATACTCTTGACAACCCTTTACCATGTGCCATTAGCAGTGTAAGTTGCATAGTCGATTGCGTATGTATTGAGGCTCAATATATTTGCGGGTACCTACTAGTGTTTGCAATACGTAAAATTACCATAAAATTTTCATACACACACTCCTTTATTTCATCCACTCAAATAAGCATCATAAATTTAATTTTAAAATTTAAATAAGTTTATATTTATTTCGAGGCAGCACGTGATGATGAATACAAAGTTGTAATAGAGAGCCCGAACCCATGTTTTGATTTAAAAGTTAAACTGTACATTTTCAAACATTTTTATCATTAAAAATTATTGAGTATTAAAAACATTCATATAATTGCATTGCTATAATTGCACATGGTGCATGAATAGCCGCGATAACAAAAATATCGATGCCTTTGAAATGTGGGTGTGGCGGAGGATCGTGTGAATACCGTGGACTGCCATGAGAACTAACGAGTCCATTCTAAGGGAGCTAAACATTCGAAAAAGGCTCTCTTCCATCTGCCAGGAACGTGTTATGAGCTTCTTCGGACACATCATGCGGAGACATGAATTGCAGAAGATCATAATTGCGGGTCGCATAGAGTGCAAGCGCGCCGTGGGCAGAGCCACAGCCAGATGTTCAGATCTAGTAAGAGAAGAATTTGTGGTAGTCTGTACCATGCGGTTCATACCACCCATGATCGAACACAGCGGAAGAACGTCATATGTGGTCGCGATCCTCAGCAGTGAGGGAAACAATATAGAAGAAAAATCGCACTCTACACATTTTGAGTTGAATACCATTTCGAAACTAGAATGGATTAATCATTGAAAACCTTATGATTTCTCAACAATGAAACCCAAGTATCATCCACTATTGAACTCACTACAATGCCATTAATATCATTATGACAAACTTGACACTGAACTTTGGGTCAAATAACTATTGCAATTCTTGTTCGTTGTTAAATGTTGTGTAACAGCGAACGGATCACCTCAACATTCAATACATTCAATAATAGTATCTCATAGTTTATAATAATGATTGTAAAATAATTGGCAGTGGCAATCATTTAATTGCGATTCTGTTTTACAACACTAAAAACCGTACCACCGATTCATTGATTGAGCTTACCACTCTGTGCCAACCAATTTCATTAATTAATTCATTATTTAAGCATATTAATTTTACTTGAAGGCAAGAACAAAAGATTAGTCTTTAAAAGGCAATTGAAAAACGAGGTTATCGGCCCCATTGGCGAAGATTAACTTAGCAACAATACGAATAAAAAAAAGGCAATAACGATAGCAGCAAATTACTAACTAAGCATTAATACTTGTGGCGACCCCGCCTCTGACGAATCTCGTTTCGAATAATAACCAGTCGTGACCGAGCTTCATGGCTAATTAAACCAGTAAAGGTATCATGAACTTTCGTCGACCGAAACGTAGTGTTAGTCCGAAATGTTTCGATAATGGGGAACACGTGGATTAAGTAGGTGCTCGTTAAGATGTAACTGTTAACTCGCTTAACGGTAGGGCTCGGTAGGACGAGAAACGAGACTTTTATTTATACTACTGACTGATGATACCTTCGTAGCAGTTACGTCAACTGTAATTTTACATTGATCAAGTTAGACAAAACATCCCGCGGTATGTTTGCGAATTTCGCCAACACTATAAATAAACTCACCTGAATAGATTTTGTAGAGCGAATCCAACAATCCTTGCATCATTTTGACGGGTTTACCTTGGCACTGGTGGATCACAAAAACAAAAAAAAACACAAAACACTCCTAACGCACTACACCGAACAACGTAACTTCATTATTATTCGTTATTAATAATGAGACATGTTCATTCTTTATTGATACATCATTGGAAATTAAGTTTTTATTACCAAACGACAAGTCATTGCCAACTAGAAGGTAATTAGTTCGACATATTGGACAAAGAGTTGGCTTATCGGCGCAATCAAGAAAACGTACTTGAGATAGAAAAAAATGACTATAAAGATTTGAAGGTGAATGAACCGACATAGGCAATAGATACAGTGCAGTGGCCAAATTGAAGTAACGGTATTAACAGTCGAATCGTTATCATCAATCAGATTTGCGTAATAGTGTGTTGGCAATTACTATACTGGTACATTTGGATGTACCGAATGATTGGTCGCGTGGAATGCGCTGCAACCGTGTACAGTTACGAACGATCTTAATAAAAAAGTAATGCGATACAACCAGGGCGTGTATCGAGGAACGCTAAACGAAAGTGGTGCTCGTGATGACGGCCTTGAAATATAATACAGAAACATTTAACAAATAAAATTCCAGTGTCTCGTTCGATTCAGTTTTATTTGGCGATGAAAAACTTTATTTTAAATATAGATTTCGCGGAACGTACAATACTGTGATAGAGTGACTATTGCAATCGATAATGAATCGACGATTTCATGTTTTGGGTATCAGTTGAGTTCATGTTTATTCTATCATAATATGAACTATGAAACAAAAACGTTGGGGCTAGGCATCTAAAATCATCGTGCTTTCGATACTAATTACTCATAAACCAACAAGGACAAATAAACGCTACAATGAATACAATGAATAATAGATAGAAAAAAAGCAAATTAATAAATCAGAATTAGCCTGAGAAAGGTATAGAAAATAAACTTAATAAATTTAAATTTTACAAATTCGTAAAATTGAATTTCTAAAATAAATCTTTAGTAGTGAACGAAGAACTCTAACTACTAGTAGAGGTAGGAAAATGGAATCGTCTTGTTTGAATTCTAGAATCCAAACAAATGTCGATACAAGGTAAATATTTAAAAATTCGTAAATTTATAACACAAAACCCGTCAATTAATTTCGCGTGTAAGTACGGAGCTGTTTATCACTGCAGTGCAAAAGAGAAGGTTTTTTTATTATTAATCTTGGCACAGATCTCTTCTGCATAACAAATAGATTTAATGACCGTTCTTTAAAATCATTTATCACAAGAAATAAGGTGAAAGACGTCTTTGAACAGAAAAAACGGAATGTCTTTCATGAAATTTTAAATCGCCTTATTTATTAAACGAAATCACTAAGACGACTATCCATCATCTACAAATAAGATAATAGGTAAGTACCATAAGTATTAAGATTAATATGAAAATTGATAATTTGTATTAAAACAATACGATCGTGACCAGGTGGGCGGGTAATGACTATTATTTCGATATATGCACTTCTTTGAAATCAGCGTATCGTATGCTGCAATTTACGACTTAAAACAATGACTCGAAACTCAGACATGTACTAAAAGCGTCACACGTGAACTTGTACGAATTTAGATCTTCTCATGTTTTAAAAATAGACTTGCCAATAACAATCCGCTAGCACAACGAAGACACTAATGAGACGTTAGCATTAATGTACGGTATGATTGGCCACGCATGAGAACCATTGTAAAATCAATGGTGAAATCTTTCTAGATAAATACCATACTTGTCAGGCGCGAAAAAACGTATGAATAACTTTATTAGTTCTATTGTAATCTCATTCAATTGAAGCCCGAAGATACTGCGACGTGTGAATGATAATGTATAGATATTAAAACGATAGAAGACAAAAGGAAGATTTAGACGTGAACATTAGTGGCATGCATAGACGTCTGAGCATTTCTGTATAGGAGTTTGTCTTTTTGCATGGACACTATAATTGGATGATTCAAAAATATCATAAACTGATTCACTTTTCGTAATACATATTACACTGTTTTTAAACGAGGGATTTGGAAAGCAAAAATATGTAAATAAATCTTGTAGCGAACTGCAGCGACGCTCGTTAAATCCTGAAAACTGACTAATAAGTTTCTGTGGAAAAATCGTTGAATTTGACGACTGTCTCAAATGGACTACAATTAACATATTTTTAAATTTTATCCGACTATCTGTGCTTAAATAGACCCTAGAATTGATTGAACTGGTAAATAATGTCACATGGTTTCAAGGAACCATCTAGATCACTCACACGAACACGTTTTTTTTTTAGATTAACACACGCGGATTTAAAACGACTTTGTCAACAAAACGTGGTGTAGGGTTCACCGGAGAGCGCGGTTCGCGGAGTAGCCGTGTAGGTATCGCAAACGTCGCACAGGGCGGGCGCTCATCGCGGAACGCGCGCCCGCGCCGTCCGCGGTCTGCCACACCGCCACAGCCACTGGCGCACCGGGATTATTTTTAAATTCATACAGACAAGGGGTCGTAGAATTTTGCACGACGTCGTGGTATGCCAAAACTAATGAATGTACCGGGACGCGCCGGAAACAGAGTTTAACGGTTACTAGTCATGCCCTAGACTTAATGATCTGACTTATCCTGTACCTTTGAGACTACCGTTAATGAACTTCTAAGTTTCCTTCAACATATCTACACACTTTTACACTTTATTAATGGTGTATTTTTATGCGGATATCGATAAGCAGACACTTCCAGTTTTAAGCGGTGGAAGTCTCATTTACATTTTTATTAACAACTCATTCGACATACCAATTTTAATATTTCACAATAAGGTTATGTTTACGTAATACGTTGTTATTTGGAGAATTTCGCAGCGACCCTGGCCGTGCCGCCCACCTGGACAGGTGTTTTCTGTATTTGCTAAGACGGTATGTACTAGAGCAACGATAACGACACGTGGGCGACTCCAACTTGCAGCATCTCATTTGTCATTCAGTCAACCAAAGAGATATGATAATCTTTAATAACACAACTATCAAGCCAAAGTTGAAAGCCAAATCGATGCAATTATGCAGCTATAAAGCAACGCTCTTTGGGCTCACGCCAATTGAGGGTTGCACCAAAGAATTTGTTTTAATCCACCATGAAACAAAAAACTAAAGGTATTACATACAGACCTTACAGGCGCTAGTGTAGAGCGTTCTTACAAAAAAGAATTTGTGGCAATGAATCACCTGTAACAACCAATGTTCATAAGAGCCAGAATTTTGGCAACGAATGCGATCCGTTTCTATTCTGATGTATTATGTTAAAAATTGTAATGTACTCACATATAAGCCTGACATCGGAAATAAATACGACTAGCATAAAACAGACACAGAATTCAGTTCTTTAAAATTTGTTAATTTAAAATATGCTTGATTTCGCATCAAACATTTTTCAAGACAGTCGTCTATGATATTTCTACAAGGACGCGATATACTTCTAAAACCAGATAGCCCTGTAGATTATAATCATTGACACATGTCCTAAATGCTATACGTGTCATGTAAAATTTTTTACCAATAACATTCCTAGTCTTCAGTATCATTCGGCGATGTTCCAGATCGTGTAAAGCGACTGACAAGTCCCGTCTATTTGTACAATGTCGAATACATTTGACGTTTAATTCGATGTTTATGGATATTTACGATATCGAGGCAGCTGTCGACTGTGACGCGGACGCTCATTCCGAGCTGTTCTCGCGGTTTCTTTAATTCTTTCGTTCGAGAAATCTCAACGCTAATAACAAAGAAATACTTGGAGAGAAATTCTTGCGATTAAAAATCTAAAAAAGTTTTTTTTTATTGCTTAGTTGGATGGACAAGCTCACAGCCCACCTGGTGTTAAGTGGTTACTGGAGCCCATAGATATCTACAACGTAAATGCGCCATCCACCTCGAGATATAAGTTCTATGGTCTTAGTATAGTTACAACGGCTACCCCATCCTTTGAACCGAAACGCATTACTGCTTCACGGCGGAAATAGGCGGGGTGGTGGTACCTACCCGTGCGGACTCCCAAGAGGTCCTACCACCAGTGAAAAGTAGTGTCTTCTTCGTGAAGTTCTCTAATAGATTAATATAATACCGTAATTCCATATCGATATCCAAAGTCTGTTTTAGGATAGAAGTCAGAGATGTTGAAAACCAATTTTACGGTTTAATCTCGCGTTACAAACTTTCATCTAACAACTGACGACGTTCCGAATAATCTACGGTTACTGTGCTCACAGGTAATCATATATTCTACCATCTAGTTAGTTTGTTAGAAAAATGAACACTTTATAATACTAACACAGACAACTAACAAAATCTTGATATCTGGCAATTTGTTTAAATCGGTATTTTAGTCGTCATGAAAGTCGTCGTCGTCTAAAGGTCAGTTAACTTAGCACTGGCAATTGAATTGTGTTTTCTATCGAATTGGGGCCTTTATTATTTCATTCTTTGAATAGACATAATTTCTTTGTGAAACGATGGGTACTTCTACCCAGAAGTTTTAGTAAATCTTCCTTTATGATGATGATGATGATGCGATCCTTTATTCCTATCTCATTTAATAGCTGTTCATCATGGATTTTTATTTTTTTATTGCCCTTGTAGGCAGACGAGCATACGGCCCACCGGATGGTCAGTGGTTACCGTCGCCCATGGACGTCAGCAATGCCAGGGGCAGAGCCAAGCCGCTGCCTACCGTTAAAGTTAAAATCTTCCCACTAAATTATTCCATAGTAGAGCCTAAGGTGATGCATTAAGTAACGACCATGAGCTCTGGTAAATATCTACCACCAGATAGACCGTGAGCTCGTGCGCTCAATAAAATAAGCCCTGTTGTCTTTGAAACTCGCACTGTGCTCCCTGACTTTAATGGAAATATTGCTGTTAATCTTTGCCTTGAAGATACGATAATGCATATGACGTGTAATTAGCTTCTTAAACATCAAAGTAACACAGAATATTTTTCGTTATAAACTTTCAATTTATTGTTAAGCAAATTATTTTAACAGATTCTAACGCACAAAATATATTTTTAATTATTATTACTATTTCTTGTTTCAGCATTTTGAATACACGTCTTTTTAATGGGACAAAAACCAAACTATTGGTTCACTATTTTTCTACAATGACAGCTCAACAAAATCTATTGAAAATAATATATAACATGTAGATGAAAGAAAGAAAAAAACTGTTTACGTTGTATTTCAGCTAAAGTGATAGCGTTTTATTTATATAGACGGTTTGTGTTAAGGTAATGTAAACTATGCGTGTCGGTACGCGCATTTAGTGAGTCCGGCGTTAATGTTATTTGAATACAACACGTCCTGGGGTTTTATTTACATAAGAACGTACCTACATACGTTAACATTGTACGTATTGGCTGTTGATATGTAATTCTCTGTTACGTTAAATAACTACGTTGCCAAGGGCGGATCCAGCTTTGGCGCCAGGAGGGGGTCACATAGTCGTGGTGAAATCAAGAATTTATAATTTAATTTTGATAACAATAGATACAAGTAAAAATCATTATGTTCAACCTGGAACCAGCTCAAGGGGGGGGGGGGGTCACGACCCCATGACCCCCCCTGGATCCGCCGTTGTACGTTACGTTGTGCAACGATCGCGTCACTACCGCTGTTGAATACGTTTTCATTTAGGCTCTCGTCGTTATTACTATTTTCAGCTAACGTTCGTGGTGTTTTATGGGAAAACTAACCTCTCGGCGTGTAAGCGTTCGAAAATTCAAAACGGTTTTAGATAGATTTTAATGAGCGCTGTGCGCACGCACTGCCTACGCACTTATCGAAGCGTGTTGGGGCAATATTTTAACGTTATTATACCAAGAAAGTGCAGTACGGGCGCATTCGTCTGCAACCAAATTAATTTCATAGTATTTGCATATTAATTTAAACTAGTGGTCCCGCAGTAGTCGAAATTCGACTATAATTAGTTGAAATTATTATGGTTCTATTCTCAAAGACTATTATATTTCTATAGTCGCAGATTTCGCCAAGAAAGCTAAACAATTTTAACTTATTCTCAATTTTACTACAGACTTTAAGCAATAACAAAGGTTTGACAATAAATAAAGAGTATGTGTGTGTGTGTGTCAAATACATGCTAGTGTGTGTAATGTTTTCTTTATTGATTTAATGTATTTTTATGAATAATTTAAAAAAAAATTAACGTTCTGCAGTCCTTCTCTATATTCTTTATAAGTGTGGGAAATTTCATACTGCTCCGTCCGCGCAATTGTCGAAAAAAGGGATACAAAGTTTTTGGTTCACGTATTAATATATAGATAACTTGAATGTCAATGGATAGTTTAATACGTACTTAGTGATTTTTGATTGGTATATTTAGAGGAAGAGGTAGACCTAAGAAAAAAGGGTTGGATTGCGTGAAAGACGATATGTGTAAGAGGGGAGTGAGCGCAGAAATGGTATATGATACAGTATGGAAGGAGAAAATATGTTGCGCCGACCCCAGGTGACTGGGAGAAGGGCAAGAGAATGATGATTGGTATATTCAGCGAGATGAGGAAGAATTCACGCGTACTTCTTGAAACCTCTGCCTTTCAGCCACATTTTTGTTGGCTCTATGACATGTTTCATTATTTAAACGGCGTTTGCAAGGAGTCCTCGAAGCTAAGCAGTTTGGCTGATCCCTTGGCATTGATAATGCTCTGGTAGGAACTTTTATCGAGAATTTATAGTCAAACGAGGTTGATGAAAATCATGTTATAAACGGTTTTATAGAGCATCTGACAGCTTGCCTAAGCAGTGCTCATTTCCTTCCATAAACTTGGTATACTATTTGAGGTCATAATTTACTGGTGGTAGGACCTCTGGTGAGTCCCGTGAGTGAGCACGGGTAGGTACCACCACCCTGCCTATTTTCTGCCGTGAAGCAGTAATGCGTTTCGGTTTGAAGGGTGGGGCAGCCGTTGTAACTATACTGAGACCTTAGAACTTATATCTCAAGGTGGGTGGCACATTTACATTGTAGACGTCTATGGGCTCCAGTAAACACTTAACATCAGGTGGGCTGTGAGCTCGTCCATCCATCTAAGCAATAAAAAAAAAATCACTTATGAAACCACGGATTTGAAGCAGCGTGAAGCGACGCATTGACAATTGAACAACAAAAATAGAATACCGTATGAACTCATGCGGAAATGCGACATTTTCTGCGATCCGGTCCGCTTACGGACAACTGGGTCAGATTAATTGTGTGATCAAAGAGGGGAGGGTTTAGATCAAAACCAAACGCCTTGTTAACGAACACGAAATGTGCGAGTTTTATGAACTTAAACGAGTTCACGTATATACAATAGAAACAAGATTATCATTTTGAAAAAAAAAAACAATTAAAAATCCCTACTAATATATTATTATAAATGTGAATTTAAGTTTGTTTGTTACGCTTTCACGCGAA